AACGATACAGTCAAAAGGGCTGCGATCCTGACCCTTTCCTAATTCCCAAATCACTTTCAAACGCGCCTGCAGGCTCCAGGGAGTGGCAATAATGGGAACCAGAAGAGGCCAAAAGATGAGCCACTTAGAAAGGAGAAGGGCTTGATTGTGAAGGAGGAAAGGCCGGGGCCGCGAGTTTAACGCCAGAGCGAACCAGCAGACCTCCCCTCTCTCCTCGATCTTGAATTGGTTAATCTCTCTGTCTGCTTCTCACATTCTTACTCTCCTATTTAGAGAGCCGGGCTGAAACGAGAGAAGACGTCCTCTAGTGCTCCCACACACGATTTTCTCTACTCAAGACAAGACCCTTTATTGGCCTGTTTTCAAACAATAATATAAATAAATATTTCAAAGAGGAGTCTCAGGTTACCGGTCCCGTTTAACAGAAAGAGGGTGGAAAAGGGGACGCTCCCGCAGAACAGAGGACCAGCATCGCAGTTCCTTGTAATGTGACCTGGGATGGCGCTCACGTGTCTTTGAGATCTACGATGAAATTATGAACAGACCTGAACCCCATCCATGCGTATCTCCCCCACGCGCCTTTTAAGGCGCCTCGCTCCTTGTACTCGAAACCAGCGCTCGGATCGCTCTAGCAGAGCAAACTGCGTATCGTGTTCAGCTGTAAAAAGCGAGATTCCCGAAAGAGACTAGAATTCCTCAATAGGGAAAAGGCGGTAAATAATGTTCCGGGGTGGATGGGGAGGTGGGGAGTAATACGGAATAAAGTTAAAATCATTATAAAACATCCATCCCGGTGCTAGAAAATAGGGCTCCCTACCGTCCGCTTGGGCCTCAGTCCTATACGTCTCATTGAAAATAATACAACCTCTGAACAGAGATGATACACACTGCTGGATCTGAAGAAGGGCAGCTGGAACAAGAAGCGGAGGCTTTCTTGAAACCATGCAAACCTAAATTCGGCTTATTTACCTTCTGGCCTGTGGATCAATCCTGCCCTGCGCAATGGCCCGCCATGAAAATATGCAACCACGCTTATTTGTCAGCTCTAACATCAGCCTTTTCCAGCCTCACAGGCTTTAGATGATTCGGAGTAGAGCACCCAGCACCCTCCAGCCATTGGCTAGAAGGACTGGGGACGTTGGAAATCCTGATCCAGAATCTCTGGAGGACACACGTTATTCTCCCCTGATATAAATTTAACACATTCCTTATTCCCAGAGTAGAGAGGGGTCGCGAGACGGGGGAATCACTGTTCATTCGGAACACAAGAAGAGGTAGAAAAGGTTTCCGAAGGTGCCTCCTGCCGCCACCGACCCGTCTCCCATCAATAATCCTGCCATTATTATGTACCAGTCTTTTAAAAAGTCAACAGCCCCTCTAGGGTTTTAAACTGTTCGGCAGGTCCCTCTGCCACCCGGTTTTAGAGAAGGAAACAAGAACCAAAAAAACTATTTAGAACTCCTGCTCTAATTTATTTCCGGGTTGGGGAACAGAAATCTATTCTGCAGAATAGCTGGGGCCGGCCGATTCTTGTGCCTCTAGTCTCTTTCACTAAACATTTAAATACAGTAATATAGGAGGTTAACTCAGAATAAATTAAGTCTCCCCGGAGAAGCCTGCTAACGATTTTCTTTCAGACAGTGGCAACTTCAAGATGTCCTCTCACCTTGAAATAGGAAGTCAGTCAAACACCAGGAAGGCGGCTTTCGCCTCCTCACCTTGTTTCACAAGAAGTACAAGCCTCAAACTCCTTTTTTTGAGGATATGGTGGCACCTCAAGATAGAAAGGAGCTATCCAGGTATGACCAAAACTACCTTTAGTTTATGACACACAGGCATACACACAGAAAATGCTACTCGTTAATAATACTGTGTCTGAAGATGATACCACGTTGCTTATCCAGTGGCAGAAAAGACTAATGGGATGGTTATTTATCAGCATACTGTATGTACCTGACTTTCAGACAACCAAAGGTATATAAGGTATACAAACAATAAAACAACATTTACAGAAATATAGATTGTGGCCCGAGATTGAGAAAAAACAGTCAACCAATAAACCAAGTTAAAACAATATCACCTGGTCTCATTTGTCAGGAATCTTCTGCAGCCAAGGTAGCTCCCTCCATAATTCCTGATCAACCATTTTCTTTTCACCTTTAAAGGAGATGCCGGTGAGACATCCCAGTTCTCCTCGGTGTGTAGGCTGGCAGAATAAGAGACAGCCCTTAGATGACTTATTTTGCAATTGTTCTACTGAGCTCCAGCTCTGGAATAAGCTGCTTATGCCCTCTAACCTTTAACCCCTGAACTCCCCGGTCTTGGCCCTCTTTCACATTTTAAGAGGAAACCATGCAACCTATTTACTTCTGTGTGTGAAACATGGCAAGGGAACTATTTATTAAAATACCCATCTGAAAGGGAGGAAAATTTAACGGACTGGGAAAAAAATGTATTTTGTTCTGCAATCTTTGCTTTCAAGGGTCCCCTTACCTCTGAACCCAACAGAATGGAACGGAGTTTCCAAACAATGCCACTGTTGCAGCTGAAGGCTGCAGTGCTAGGCACACTTAGTTGGATTTACTTCCAGGTGAACATGCATAGGGCTGTGCCACACTTCCACAGATTGGAATTCAGTTTCAAGCGTGCCTTCTAGCATAAGTAACTACTTTAATTCAGTGTGCTTTTACATGCAAATGAGTGTATTTAAGATATGGGGTTAACCAATGTAAAGCCCCACCGCTTCCAGTTCACTAGCACCGCATTTCTTATTCAGGCTCTCTGGCCCAACACACCGCCAACCCCAATCCTCAGGAAAAATAAAATCTACATTTTAGTCCCAGCGTTGATTTCCCATGCATGACGAATCCGACCTAACCCTAACTGCATCTTCCTTCGGAAGTAGCTGTTTGCTTCTCATCTCCCAGAGACGGAAATGTGCTCTTTCACACTCTGAAAGTGGTGTTTGTGAAGGCAACCTTGCATGCACACACCCTGCTCCACCTTTTTCTCACAAGCTCCTTAATTTACAACCCAAACCGTTGCAAGGGGAAAAAAAAACGCCACAAGTATAAGGAAGCCCCTATCTAACCTCCTCTCTCCCAACGCCCTTAAATGCTGGAAATGGGCCGATCGCCCTTCTACAGAAGGGCTTCGCCTTGGATCACTGGAGTTATTGGGAGGGACTCCTGGACAGGAAAAACGGTTTGGGAGACCGGAGTAGATAGAAAGAGCTACAAAGCTCCTTCCATTTGTAACCATGGGCTCAGCAGTCTGGAAAATAGATTCATGCCGCCGCCTTCTACGCTCTCACCCTCCCTTTCCCATGTCCTGCTTTGTAATGTCTTTTGTGGGGTCTGGACATGAAAGGGGACGACCAAGGGTCTGACAGAGGATTGCTTTTCAGAAGCAAATGTGGGCCAAGGGGGACGTGGACCGCCAAGGAAAGCAAGACCCTGTTCAAGGAACAACATCAACAAACTCTGCCAAAAGCTGGAGGGGAGGGGAGGCTGAGGAGTAGCGGGGGGGCAGAGGGGGGGAGGCGACCTGCAATGGAGAGACAGATGGAAAATGTTGCAAGAATCCGTCCCTCTTGTCTCACTCTCCACAACACCCTCCCTACCCCAAACTTGTATAGACAAAGATATGTCTCTATATATTATATAGACACACACACACACACACACACACACACACACACACACACACACACACACACACACACACACACACACACACACACACACACATTTACTTTTTACGTGCTTGTAATAGACTGTCCTATATATATAATCGTCTATGACAGCCCATTACAACCACGTAAAAAGTAAATGAGTCTTTTTAGAGGGGAGCTTAAGGGCCATCCATTCATCTATCTTTCTCTCCAAAAACATTCTGCCGGGGAGTGTGGAAGGACACAACTAACAAGGCGGCCGCTGCCCAAGAGACTAGGGGAGTATCTTGTTCAGCAAAAGCGGGCACATTTACAGACTTGGCCACACATATAAAGACATTTTAAGGAAGGATTCAGCAAGGAGCTGTTTATTTTTTAATTTTTTTTTTTTTTTTTTTTTTTTTTTCTTTTGTTTTTTCTAAATTTTTTTATAGGTTTTT